TGTGTGTGTGTGTGTGTGTGTGTGTGTGTGTGTGTGTGTGTGTGTGTGTGTGTGTGTGTTCTATTTCCGCGTTCACTGGAGGCGCTCCACAAATGACTCTCCGCCGCCGCCTTTGCTGTGCGTCAGCGGCGAAAGCGCGTCTCTGTGTGCGGGGATCTGTCTGCAGGGACACGGGGAGGAGGACCCCCGGTGCCGCAGCAGCAGCATGCTGACGCGGGTAAGGTCGGCGGTGGCCAGCCTCATGGGAGGTATGATGGCCGGAGGCTCCAACGGAGATCACCCCGACGGCCCGGACCTGCCGCTGAAATTCCCCTACAGCAGACCGGACTTCCTGGGACTGTCGCCGGATGAGGTCGAGTGCTCGGCGGATCACATCGCGCGACCGATCCTGATCCTGAAGGAGAGCCGGCGGCTGCCGTGGTCCACCGGCTACGCAGAGTGAGTCAACCTGCCTCTGTCTGCGTCCATGTTTTTATTGTGACGGAGCAGAGGCAGCATCTTTCACAGCGAGCGCTTCTCCCATTGTTGTGATGATGAGGATGATGATTGTGTTTACTGATGAAGAGCACCGCCTGTTTAGCTCTCACTTGAACACGTTGTGATGAAAAAAGATAAGCTTCTAACAATGCCAGCGGATGTTTTGCCCGTGTCTGTTTGTGTGTTGTGTGTCTGTTAGCAAAATATCTCATGAACCACTCCTCAGATCTGAATGAAACTCTCAGGAAGCAATCACTGGGTTCACATCTACAAGTCCTTTTGGAGTTACAGCCTGTCCTAATGGCTGCTACAGCTGATTAAACAAACACAAAAAGGCTATAATTTAGTCAGTCCTGCCAAAACTGAGCTAAGATTTGGTGTTTAGCCGAGATTCATCCCTAAATAACTAAAGCCCTAACTGATTACACAAGATCACTAAAAGTAAACTGCCTGTCTGTTAGCAAAATATCTCATGAACCACTGGATGAGCTTTAATGAAAATTAGGGGAGACCGGGGACAGTTGCAACACTTTTTACATTTGACTCTGTTACTCAGTGGTTTGAATTAGACAAACTAAATTTTATCTGTCTGTTAATAGTCAAAACCATTTATAGATGATTAAATCATGTACATTCTTCACTATTTGTATTTGAAAATGAAAAGTCAGATGTTACAACTGACCCCGGGGCCGGGGACTGTTNAATTAGAACTACACCCACAGCAGCCCTTGAAGTCCTACTGGACCTGACTCCACTGGATCTACACATCCTAGGGGAGGCTGTATCCAGCGCGGTGAGGTTACATCAGTCTGGCAGGTGGAAAAGCCTACCTGACTCACAGCATACCAGAATCTGGGACTGGGCAGTTACTGCTGTTCCAGTAACTGCAGAACCTGGAGACAGAATGGTCAAAAAACACAATTTTGAACTCAGTTTTAAGACAGAGATTGAAGATAGGTCAGCCTGGAGTAATTTCTCTATGGTGGACCTGTCTACAAATTATTTCTACTGCTTTACAGACRGATCCCTTATAAAGGGGTCAGCAGATGCAGGGGTGCTGATTCTGCACAACCATAGCAAGAGAGAGTATAGTTACCCACTAGGCGGTTTTGTAAAGGTATCTCAATCACTTCTAAAAGATTTTCCACATTAACATTTTAGAAAACATCATAGTCATCATGGCCTTTAGAAAAATATGTTGTTGTTTTTGTGTGAGAGGTCACCTCCAAATAAATGTTATTTTGGAAATCACAACAGCTCCCTTTTACTCAATACTTTTAATACTTACGTACATTTGTTAGAAATAAAATTTTGATACTTATGTACAATAAATGTAAGATACTTATGACTGCAGATTTCATACTGCTGGCAAAAATGACCGAAATCTAAGAAGTAAATTTTTTAGAGGAGAATTAAATTTTCAACCAAAGTAATTTTACGGTACTTGTACTTTCACTCAGCTATCATTTTGCAGTACTTTCTATACAAGACTGGATGAGATGATTGCTCAAGATTATTATAAGGTGAAACAAAATATTCACAGAACAAAATATACTTGGCTACCCCCCTCCCCCACTCTTTGAAAAATAATATGGAGTTAGTATGCATTATTCTGATCCCTCCATCAGCTCGGATTAGTGTTTGTCATTTAAAAGAACGAGCCGCTTTAATTAGTGATGTAAATGTCATCATCATTCTGTCAGGGTTTTGATGCCTTTATTCTGAGCAGCAGGGCTTAGGCTGAAGCTTAAAATGAAATAAGAAGAACGTTAAATCTCTGCTGATGGTCTCCACATAGCGGCTGATAACACATTAAACAAGAGACCTCCGGGGCATGATGGCTCTCAGATTGGCAATAAAGACTATCCTAACTATTTTGAACAGCTACAAGAATGAAAATGAGTCATAAAACAAAAAGAAAGGGGAACAAAAGAAAGCCATGAGGATTTTCACAGTTATTATGTGATCACAGATCAGTTTGCATTGTTCTTGTTTAATTTTACACAATTTTTTTGCAACATATGTCTCTCCATTTGTTGTTTCTTTATTTAATTCACCAATCATTTCTTTTGTCCTCAAATAAAAAAAAAATACTTTTTCATACACAAATTTACACTGTTTGGCATTAAAATAAGAACATTTGTAATAATTTGTTGGACATTTTTCACTTTAATTTTGGATGGTGTTATTTCAATGAGCTTATTGAAAGAAAGTCTGGACACTGAGGTGCTAAATCCAAATGTAATAATTGTGTTTCGTTCTCCCAGAACCACTCTGTCACATTTTGAGTTTGATGAATCCTGGCATTCTCATCTTGAATTTTGCATATGCAATCAGGACATGAAGTACTTATTTTTAAAAACATTGGTCTTTCCGTATATTCCAGCAGTCAAACATCATTTTTGGGGGTGTTTATGTTGCTGGACCATTCTAGTTGAAGTAAATCTAAATTATAACAAAAATATTGGAACTAGATGTAATAAGTGCATAACTTCAAACAGGTTTGTTCTAAACATGATGTGTCTGTTCTCATCAAGCAGACAATTCTCCATCACTAGGGAATTTATCCTTTGTTACCTCTGTAAAACAAAGCCTTACCTTTCTTTTAGCCTCACTGATAAATAGATTTGGCATCCTTCTAGAAGGCCAAACTCTGATGGTCAAAGGTTTTCTTTTGCTAGTGATCAATATGGGCGCAACTACATTGCTTTTTTACAGCACCTGGCGGTCTCCCATCCAAGTACTAACCAGGTCCAACCCTGCTTAGGCCTGCGTCACACGGAAATATTTTAAAATAATCTGATGATTTTCAAAGACTGAAAGAGCCCCCCAGGTGAGGATAAAAATATCATGGATATACCAGGTTTGGCCCTACGGTGTGTGGTGTACAGCCACATGATGGGCAGATATTTCATGAGCATTCAGGTATCAGTCTAAAATTACACGAGTCTTCTTGAAATCTTGTGATAATTCAAATGTCAAAAGCAAAATCTCGCGTGACCTCCATGTGAGTTCAGAGTAAATAAACATTTGAGACGAGGAGGAAACAATGTTGATCTTTGTGGACTATTTTAAACAGAAAAAAAAAAATTCCAAATGACTTTTAATGTCCACCGTACAGAGCCCGCGAGGAGACATGGGAGATTTTTTTTCTTTTGCATTCCCACGCAATAGTATTGCGTTGCCTCGCAATACGTTTTGCGTTCCCTCGCAAAAGTAGTTTATCACTGTTGCGCCTGCCGGTTTATTAACAAACTCACATGTTCACCATTAGCGAGTTAGCCTACTGCTTTAATTCAGCTTCAGAATGAATATATCACTCAACCACGCATGGAAGTATGTCATATGCAGATATTTTAACACAGTGCAGCCACGCATCATCAATGTCAATTTCAATAACTTGTGGCAACACATCCTGTTTTGGTAATCGGATATTTCAAAAAAAAGTCTGATTTAAGTCAGTTCATATACAAAACACTCTTTTGCGTGGGAACTCAAAACAATTTTGCAAGGTAACGCAAAGATATTGTGAGGTAACATGCGAGGGAACGCAAAAGAAACCCCCCATGTCTCCTCGCAGGCTCTGTACCATCAGACTATCTGGTGAGTTATGACAGTTTTTTATGTTTTCTGTATTTTGGATTCCCCTCAGTGTTTACGTCACCTTGATTTGTGATTGGCTACCTGTCTCATTCAACAGGCTGTGAGCTCGTTTGTTCTCGGGTGAATGCCACACACGCTTTGATATCAGGCCCAAAAAAAAATCTAACATGTTGAATATCCCCAATTGAGATCGGAGCGGTCCCGACATCCTTCCAAGCCAATTAGATCTCTCTTAACTCCCCACACAAGGCAGGAATACCTGCTATGATTGTCTTTAGAGCCATCGTGATAATCTGGACATCCTTGCCAGAAGGGCAAAATCGGACCAGAATCCGGCACCATTATCTTGCCAAGTGACACAGGACTTGGCTTCTGAGCTCAGATGAGATCTGGTGTGTTCAGGGTGGCAAGGTAAAATTTTACCAAACACACACAGAAATAAAGGTCTTTTAATGTTTGAGGAAGCCCTTTACATCTCAAAGGTGGTCCTTTTGCTTAGGCCCCACATCAGCAAATGTTCTTGAGTCATGATTAGCTGCTTAATTGTCACAAAGTTTCAGAGAAAACTACTTGGAGCCAGAACATCTACCTCATTTGGGAAAATAATGTTTTTTGTTGTTATCTAACTGTGTGTCCTGCATTTGCCTCTGAGATAACTAAACAAAATTGATGCTGCGCTGAAAAAAAGAGATCCAAATTGCCAAACTGCTCCAACTGTCTTCTACAATTTATTTGTAATGTAAATTATTTTCTGGAGCCAGAAAAAGGCTGAACCTAGAGTCTTCTGGTGGCCTCCACAGTTCAGCAAACTTCTTGGTTGATGTTTCAACCAGTCGCAGTGCATCACTTCAGACATGACAAACTTCTGACTGCATCAGCCTCTTGAACATGAAGTCAAATATTTTCACAACAAAAGAGGAAGTAAAGAAATGTAGTGGTCCTTCACGCATGTACTCATGAACAGGGCACTTCCTCTCACTGCATTAATATGCTTTAAAGGGATCCATGATTAGTTGTAACATTAGACTTTATTTAATAAACATAAATTTTAACTGTAAAATAAAAATGTAAAAATACTGTAGGATGTTCAGTTTTTATCATTTTTAAACTAAAAGTTTTAAAATGTATTACACAGAGGGGGCCATTTTATTTACACACAAAGCATTCTGGGTAAATTATGACGTGGATAGGTCCTCGGTGCGAGGCTGCTAGCGAGCTATATCCACCCTGAAGGTTAATCTTGGACAATATCTGACATTTGGCTCTTTTAAATGAAACCAGAGAGCATTGACAGAGAGGAGAAGGTAGAAATGACTCAGCCTGTAACTGAAAATATGGATGGAGGACAACAGAGCTGC